CTCGTTACAGGGCACGGTCCGTCTGCCTAGTCGGACTGCCCACAGCGGGCAAAAGGGCTAGAGGCCCAGAGCCCTGCTTACAGGGAGGGCCGTCAGGCCTGGCAAAGCAGAGAGCTGTCCTCAAAGGCACAGAGACCTGCACCCTACTTACAGAGCGGTCGACAGCTCTTCACGATCTAGCCCTCCGCCAAGAGACATGGGATTCGCACCCTCCTTACAGGGTACGGTCCGTCTCACTAGCTAGACTGCCCACAGGGGGCAACAGGGAGGCCCAGAGCCCTGCTTACAGGGAGGCCTATCAGGCCTGGCAAAGGACAGAGCTGTCCTCAAAGGCACATTTTGACCCGGACCCCGCTTACAGGGTGGTCCACAGCTCTGCAGAAGTCAGCCCTCCATCAAGAGACATGGGACTCACACCCTCGTTACAAAGCACGGTCCATCTGACTAGCCACACTGCCCATGGGGGGCAAAAGGCAAAGACCCAGAGCCCTGCTTACAGGGAAGGCCGTCAGACCAGGGAAAGGCCAGAGCTCTCCTTAAAGGTACATTACGACCTGAACCCTGCTTACAGGGCGGTCCGCAGCTCTGCAGAACCTAGCTGTGTAACAGGACGCACAGGACCTGAACCCTCGTTACAGGGCACGGCGCATCTGGCTTGTTATAGTGCCGGCAGTGGCCAAAAGGCAAAGGCCCAGAGCCGTGCTTACAGGGAGTCCATCAGGCCAGGCAAAGCACAGAGCTGTCCCCAAAGGCAGAGACCTGCACCCTGCTTACAGGGCGGTCCACTGCTCTGCAGAACCTAGTCTTCCACCAAGAGACATGGGACTCGCACCCTTCTTACATGGCGCCGTCCATCTGAGTAGCCACACTGCCCATGTGGGGGCAAAAGGTAAAGGCCCCGAGCCCTGCTTACAGGGAGGGCCGTCAGGCCTGGGAAAGCACAGAGCTGTCCTCAAATGCACAGAGACCTGCACTCTAATTACAGAGTGGTCCACAGCTCTGCACAATCTAGCCCTCCGCCAAGAGACATGGGACTCGCATCCTTGTTACAGGGCAGCCCAGGGGTCCAGATGCAGTGTGTCAGACACAGATGCATGAAAAAGGACAGATGCCTGGACACAGGGATTGGAGAGGAGGCCACAGGCTTCAACCCAGACCACGGGAAGGTCAAGCTTCTGGTTCTAAAGAGTTGGCTGTCACCCCACGAGCCTCGGCTCGTCTGCAAGGCCGTTCTGCAGCACAACGCTGCAGACTGCTCCGGCTCTGTACTACCAGCGGAAGGAGGCTACACCCACCCTCCTTACAGGGGCACCTCTCCGACTGGCTGGGAATAGCCGTGGACTTTGACTCCCAATTACAGGACGTCCAGCGCTACACATATTTTTTCTCATGTTAGAAAGCAGCACATACCCCACTTATGGGTTGCTGCGCCACTGGCAGCCAGGTCTGACAGCTGGCCTGGACCCCGATTACAGGGTGGCTGTGCTGTGCAAGACCACTAACCAGATCCACGGCCTTTAGAAACATGGTGGTGGTGACACACAGCTTGATTACAAGGTTGCCCACCTTCCACCTGACTGCTGCAGAAGTGCAACAGCATGAAGGGCAGAGACTCGTTTCTGAGTTACAGGGAGCTCGCCCAAAGGCTCACAAAGCTGAAATTTGGCTAAGACATGATCAAGACCTAAAGGCAGGAAGGCTATTCTGTCCAGAGTCCCTTTCCTTCACATCCTGTTTCTCTGACTGGCTTTTCTCCTACCTCGCCTCTTCCCTGCTGCTTCCCCATCCGCTTCTCCTTCCGGTTCTTCCGAGGCCTGCAAAAACAGAGACCGAGATGGGCTGTAAGTGAACAGTACCAGAGCACACACCTAGCCCCTTGAACTCTTAATGCTCTGGAAACCTGCAACCTTCCCCATAACCCATGGGCAATACCTCTGGCAACCTCACAAAGTAGCCTCAGATGCGCAACAATAAAGGCAGGGTACTTGGATCTTGCTCCCAGACAAGGAGCACAGAAAATCCCACCATCCAAAACCTCCCAAATACCAAGGTGTGCAACTTAGCAATGGAACCCATGGAGCGGACACTCCCCGTGTCCAAATTCTCTTACCTTTGCCTCCTGTTAGGTTGGCTTTCTTCCCTCCCGGTCAGCTCACTGCTGCTCGCCTGCTGTCTCATCTGGTTGTCCTTCCTGGGGTGATGCACATCAACCCCCAAAGGGGACCGGTTTCATGGGATTCGGGGCTGCAGCCTCAGGTTGCTGGTCCGGTCTCCGACACTTGACTCCCGGGAGAGCCAAGTCAAGTAATGTCTTCCATCAATCCCTTTTTAGCAAGAGATTCAGCATCCTGGGTGGCCAGCTTCGTAGGCACTTGGCATGCAGTGGTTACAAGTGAACCACTGCAGAAATGAAAGGGGGCAGCGGGTGGGGAAACTTGGATGTGAAGTAACAGAAAAGCAGATTAGAGAAACAGCGCAGTGGGGGAGCAGGAACTTGGAGGTGAAAGGCACCAGGCACCAATGAGGTACCTGGCAGATCAATTTTATTAGTCCATTAAATAGCAGGCCAGCTCACACCTGCTTTTCTGTCATCTTCTCTGCTTCTTTCTGGCAGCAACCACTGTGGGTTGAGCCCTGAAGACAACCTGCTTCATGTGATTCACAGCTGAAGCTTCAGGCGACAGGTGCAACCAGACAGCAAAGATGAGTGATGTCTCCCACTAATCTCTTTCCACCAAGAAATTCAGCATCCTGGGTGGCCAGCTCAGAGACACTCAGCACGCAGTGGTCACAAGAGAACCACTGCAGAAATGAAAGAGGGCAGCGGGCAGGGAAACTTGAAGGTGAAATGACAGGAAAGAAGGAGAAACAGCGCAGCAGGGAAGGATGAACTTGGACGTGAAAAACGCCAAGCACCAAGGAAGTGCTGGCCCCGTCAATTCCATTAGTCTCATGCTTCCCGATGGTCTTGAGAGGGCACAAGCCCCCTCAAGCGCCCATCAGTGCTTGACCGCCCATAGAGCTAGGCAGCACCACACCATAGCTCAGGCTTGGGGGTGTGCCAGACTGTCAGTGCTTGACCCTTTTGCGAGCAGGGCAGCACCACACCACAGCTCGGCAAGATGACCCTGAGAGCAGACAGCGGAGACCTCCCGGCCCTTGCCTGCTGCAGCCCCAAATGACGCCTTAAGAAGGGGCCGCGGGCAGAGTCCTACGGACCTTGCCTGCTGCCCCGCCCTAAAGATGCCTTAAGGAAGAACTACAGAGGCTCGGACCTTACCCGCTGCCAACCCAAATGGCACCTTAAGGGAGGACAACAGAGGCCTACGGACCTTGCCTGCTGCCCACCCAAATGACACCTTAAGGGAAGACTGCAGGGGCCCTCCGGCCCTCCCCACTGCTGACCCAAATGACACCTTAAGAGAGGACTGCAGGCAGAGACAACAAACCTACCCTGCCTGCTGCCCCCACAAATGACGCCTTAAGGGGGCATTGGGAATGGCTATGGACCTGAGCCTCCACCCCCCCCAAATGACGCCTTAAGGGAAGGACTGCGGCCGAGGCCCCAGAACCTCGCCCGCTGCCCCCCAAATGACGCCTTAAGGGAAGGAATGGAAACATCCAAGCCCGACCGCTGCCCACCCCCCGGGTCACCGGTGCTTGACAGGAACTACAAGCCACGCAGCACCCACGTGGCTCGGGACCTCACTCCCCACAGCCTGACACACCCCCGGGCCTGCAGAGGGGCCGTAGGTCCCCAACAGCAGCCCAAGTGCTCCCCCCCCCCAATGCTCTGTTCGGCCTTACCTGGTCCGGGCGCGGCCTCTTCAGGGCGCTTCCGGGGTTACTGCTCCCCCCCGCTGGCCAGCTCTACCAGCTCTTCTCGGCCCTCCTCGTGCGGCGATGGGGCAGGCACCGCTGCCTCTTCAGGGCGCTTCCGGGGTTACTGCTCCCCCCCGCTGGCCAGCTCTACCAGCTCTTCTCGGCCCTCCTCGTGCGGCGATGGGGCAGGCACCGCTGCCTCTTCAGGGCGCTTCCGGGGTTACCGCTCCCCCCCGCTGGCCAGCTCTACCAGCTCTTCTCAGCCCCGCTCGTCCCGCTTTCTTCAGGGCGCTTCTGGGGTTACCGCTCCCCCCCCACTGGCCAGCTCTACCAGCTCTTCTCTGCCCTCGCCGATGTCGCTCGGCACGCGGCCTTTTATTCTTTCTGGAGGCCCCGCCCGCGAGGGGGGACCAATAGGAAAGTCCAGGGGGGTCAGTCCCCCTCAGTGCCACCTTGTCACCTTGTCTCTAAGGCAGGAGGGCTTGTCTCTAAGGCAGGAGAAATTCTGCCTTGTCTCTAAGACAGGATGAATTCTGCCGTCTCCTGATTGGCGGGGAGGGAAACGCCGCAGCCAATCAGACCGCGCCGTTCTGCTCCAGCCCACGAGGCCCCGGCATGCCTGCCACGTGCGCTGCCTCCTTGCTCCGCGCGGTGGCACGTGGACCCTGGGTGCGATGCCGGCGCGGAGCGGGCTTTTCTCGGGTTTTCCATCCTACCTGCCGGGGCCGCTTTGAAGCACGAGGGGGGCAGCACCGAGAACGCTTTTTTGGGGTTTTGTTTTGTTGTTTGGGTTGGGGGGGGTGCGGGGGGTATGCTTTGTGTGGATGCGCAGCAAACCCGTGCTACCGGTCTTGACGCGTGTTAACATGCGTGGAGACGCAAACCTCATCCGTAACTACCCGCATCGATCCCCCCTTTGCTGGCAGGGATGGCCGCGCTGATTCTAGCACGTGTTGTGCACGCGCGCGCACACTTATTGGCACACGTCGCCGCCGTTTCAAGTGTCACCGCCACTTCCCCCCCGCCTCCCCTCACACGCTCCTCTCGAAAACGCGACTCTCCAGAGGAACCCACGCGGTTTCTTTCCGCTCTTCCTGCACCACGGGTTTTCATTTCTTTCTTTCCCTCTTTAAAAATAATAAAAAAAGAAGGCGGGGGTGGGATTCCCTGCAAATCTTGCGAGCGAGGATGGCTCCTCATGCCGCATCCCTGCCCCTGCCCGCGCAACGGGACGGCGAAGGATCCTGGCGGACCAATCGTCGCACAGAACGGCATCCTTCCCAACCAATCGCCGCACGTCTCCAGGCGGCAGAGCCTCCGCGGCGCTGCCCGGGTCCCTGCTCGCGCACGCGCACCGGCAGCTTGCACCCCCAACAGGGCACCTGCCGGGCTTAGGCTGGCGAGGAGGCGCAAGCGCAGCGGTGGAGACGCTGCACACTGGGACCCAGGGCCCTGAGTCACAGCTGGCTCGCGCTCACCTCCCTCCCCTTTCCTTTATTTACTAATGACAAAGTTCTCTTGTTTCTGAACCCACCAGCACTGCAGGAAACAGCCCCCCCCCCAATAACCTTTTCAAGCTGGCGGAGATTTCCAGCTCCACTTTATTGAAAAGCAGAACATAATTTTTGGCCAAAGTGGCTCGCCCGCTATGCTGCACATCAGCATTTTCCAGGTGTGATGCAGAGCAGACAAATAAGGAGTCAAGCGGGCGTCAATACTGAGCAATGCTCCTCATTGTGCTGGTTTAGGGCCCCGCTTGCATGCAACCACATGGAGCAAGGCTCCAAAGTCTGCAAAGGTGTTTGGGGAATGTTCCTGAACCTCCCTGATGAACTTGATGTCAAACCCAGCATCTTTAATGGCTTCTTCCACCGACTCCTGGTCCAGGTACAGGCAGGAGAAGCTGCGCTGGTCAACCACGTAGTAGGTTTCTTTCAACACCGTCACTGTTACCAAGTGTCCCCCGGGCTTTAGCAGGGAGCTGATGTTCTTCACGGCTGCACTAAAGGTGCCCAGGTCTTTGCAGGCAGCTTCCAAGCACAGCGTGGAGAGCAGGCAGTCGGCCGGGGGCAGTGCCACGGGGGCCAGAGGGTTGGGTTTCCTCACATCGCACTTCAGAACCTGCTTCACTTTCTTCCTCAGTTTCTCCTCCTTCTCAGCGCACTTTTCCCTGGGGAGAAATATTGAGTGCATGAAACCTCTGTCACCTGCCTGCCTAGTCACTTGTGTGGATAGAAATGGGAGGACGTTCAATGAAACTGAAAAGCAGCGCCTTGAAGAGGGGATGCTCGTCCCCCCCATTATACACAATGAGGCTGTAGACCTTTCTGCCACAAGAAGCCATTGAGGCCATGGCCAGGCACCTGCACTTGTTCCCAGACAGATGAAGGCCCCTAACTCTGGCTCAGGGTCCCCAGAGGGAGACTCGGGGTGCATCTGCACTGCAAACCGGAGGAGCAAGGCCACCCTGTGCAGCAGACACCCCCAAAGCTGCTTCCGTGGGGCTCAGATGCCAGCACGCGAAGCATTTAGCTGTGGAAGCCCCAGGACCAGAGCGACTAGATTAAAGCTACTTGAGTCGGTCAGCACCAGCGGCATGGAGAAACTGCTAGAGTTGCTGCGTGTAGCTACAGCTGCAGCTGTTTTCCCACCTACCGTTTGCATTGCCTTATTCACATCGTGGCCCTTTGCAAGGCGGCAGAGATAAAGGTCCTGCGAGGGAGAGGAGGCTGTCGAGAGCTTAGCCAGAACAAAGGGCCCACGAGCCCTCTGCTGGAGTCATACAGAAATGTTGCACTGACTGCAAAAATATGCAGCGTGCGGTTGTCTAGAGCAGTGGTTTCCAAACTTTTTTGATCGCGCACCCCTATCAGTAAAAAAATTTTTAAGCACACCCCCAATATATGTTTATTTATTTATTTATAAATTATATACATGTACTACTGTACATTATAAAACATACACAAACAATAGAAATTAAAAAAGGATGAGATAAAAAATAAATATAAATAGAAGTTCTAATATTTTCTACCCGCACCCCAATGGATCATCCTGTGCACCCCACTTTGGAGACCACTGGTCTAGGGTTTTCACAGAGTGTCAGGAGCTGCAAGGGACCTGGTAGATCATCGGGTCCAGCCCCCTGCGGTAGGCAGGAAAAGATGACTGGGGTCAAGTGACCCCAGCGAGGTGACCGCCCAGTCTCCTTTGGAAGATGTCCAGGGTAGGCGACTGCACCACCCCTGGGGGAGTTTATTGCACAGTCTGGACACCCTGACTGTGGAGGAATTTTCCCTGGACTTGAGCCTGAAGTGGCCTTCCAGGAGTTTGTACCCATTGCTCCTGGTCTTCCCCGGGGTGCCCTGGTGAACAGCTGTTCACCGAGCCCTTGATGTACTCCCCTGACATAGTGGTAAGCCGCTACCAAGTCCCCTCTCAGCCTGC